AGAAAGAGAGAGGGAGGGGGAGAGAGAAGGGAGGAACGGAGAGAGGGGGGAGGAACGGAGAGAGAGGGGAGGAACGGAGAGAGAGAGATAAAGAAAAAAGAAAGAGAGAGATAAATGGAAAGGGAAAGAGAGAGAGAGAAAGACACAGAGAGAAAGATATAGAGAATGAGAGTGAGTTCGGGAGAATATAGACATACCTGGTGTAACTGCAAAATTGTCCAAAATGTGTAACAGCATGGAATATCTGTCCAACCCACAAAATGTTTAATATCTAAAAAAAAAAAAAACACTAAAATAATTGTGTTTCTTTTTTCGAGTTATTAAGATAAGATATTAACACCATTTGACGTAAGAATCACCGAAAAATACTTTGAGTTATTCATCTAAAAAGAGAACAAGTTAAAAGTGTTTTGTGTTAGCCTATGTCTTCCCAACTGAGCAATGGTGAGAGGAAAAAAGATCACTCTGGCCTGCAGTAATGGTACCAAAATTTATACTCTGGCTTCCATCTTGAAAGTTCATTCAAGAACCACCAAAAGAAAGATGAATATGGTTAAAAAAATGTGGGGACAGTAGAGACGGAAAATAGATCAGGAGGTCACGACAGCAAGAGGGGTCATCGTTTTATCTAACAGCTAAATAAATTCTAATTGTTCAAAGTAGAGTGAAATAGTGTTACAAAAACCTCAGAGAATTCCAGTAAAATTTTTTTCTAAGATACGACAGTTCAAAACTTAATCTAACAATTAAAACTTTTAGTTGTTACACGATTTGGACAATTTTGTTGTTATACCCGGTATATATATATATATATATATATATATATATATATATATATATATATATATATATATATATATATATATATACGTATGATGTATGTATTCATATATAACAGTCGGTTTGCTTAAAAAGGTGAAGGAAATATGTCTATTTTAGTTTCAACGCGGGGGCAGTATCGACGTCTAACGTCACCAGCGGGTGGCAGGATGTAGTAGATATTGTATGTGCTTAAATGAGTCTGTGTTGGTCGCGAATATGTCGTTTTCCGTCTCTCGACATGTTACGATGACAGCAGCATCGGTGAAATGAGAAAATTAATTCATCGATTCCGATTTAGGTTGAATTTCCATGTCTTTATATGCATACACAGAGATCCACTTTGAAACTGCCGTTGGGCTTCGGACTGGCTCACATTTAGTGAGCTTTTATCTTGCTTGAGAACAGATTTTATTTTTGATTTGGACGCTAGACTATGATATTTTGAATCGTGGTCGAGACCGTTTCTGATTGGTTGGTCGAAATATGACGTCATGACTTAGCGATTTTAATCATACAACTATTTTTGAAGATGGTAAAATTTTGTTCTCCAAAATAAATAAAAGTAAACAAATGATAAAAAAGTATTTGTTTATTTTTATTTATTTATATTTTTATCGATATAATTAAAGAGGATAAATAGATCACACTGAGATAGATAGATAGATAGATAGATAGATAGATAGATAAAAGGATGGGTGATGGATAGTTTAAACAAAAGATTGGAGTGTATTTTCATAGTTGAGTGGATGTGTGGTTAGTGTAATGGATAGTGGTTCGGAAGGAGTAATCGGAGTTCAGGTTCATTGCATTCCTTTAAGCGCAAATACCCTTCTCTTATATAGGAATAAAGTGTCGCTGCCGACACTTGTGTTTGAAAATAGATCGCATAGTGAGGAAACACACGCGATCCCATTAGACCACGTGATCTTTGAGGAAACGCGTATAAAGGAAGTCACGTGACGTCTAGATTGATCGCTATATCCTAGCCTACCCTCTATTACTATATGGACCGCTATTCTCTACTCTATTCACTATACTATTTCTCTATTCAGGTCACTATACGGATTACTATTCAAGCGCATTGGACACCACGGGGTGGTGTAATGGTTAGAAAGCTTGTCTTGCTAGAACAATTATGACTGAGTAGTGAGTTCAGTCCTCACTGGGTGACCCCTTATTTTCGACCTTGTGCCACATCCAAGCTACGTTTGGAAAATCACTACTATTAGTACTATTAGTGTGAGTGTTATTCGAAGGCGTTTGACACCAGTATTGTTCAACGGTGTTACTATAGTTGTATCTGCGATTACAAAGTCTCTACTACAATGAGCATTACGAAAATGACAACGAGTATTCGTTGGCATTACAAAAGTGGCAACAAGTTGCAACAGACACGCAATCTTTGGATTGCCACGTATTGCAGTTTTTTTTAGAGAAGACACTTAAAAGATATAAAACCCTGGATGACTGCCAAAGACAAGTAGAATATTTCTTGCTAATAACCATAAATCTGTGCTACGAGAATGCAATTATGAAGTTATTTTAAAGATAGCAGTAGGGCAAAACAAAACTATCAATTAATTGTTGTTTTGTTTTAAATCATTTCACCATAAGCAATGCAATAAAGTCATGTGATCGCAAAGGGTTGCTACCTGTTAGAGAATATGAGAAAAAATCTAATATTAAGGAGAGAGGAGAATATAAGAACAATAATTAAGAAAACAGAAGATAATGATTGACATTGCATATAATATTTTGAAGATCAAACTTGACTGAGAAACGAGAAGCCGGAAGAGAGTTCCACAAGTTAGAAGTGCGATAGAAAAAAAAACTGTTAGCATAGAACTTAGTGTTACTAACCATTTTGGTTTAAGTATTCTGTCAAACACTCCACTGGAATCCAGACCTTTAATTTCCAATCACTCACGAAAGTGATAGACTTCCTCCCGCGTTTTCTTAATAACCCTGATGGACACGCTTCTCTTCTAGATCTCTTTTTACCTCTATCTCTTATTTTTGTCGTACTACGAAGCTCTGCCCTCTTGGTAAATCTGATCGTGCGCCAGTGTCTGTAAACATCACATTCCTCTCCCCTACTCGATAAGAACTACCTACCAACAGAATATCTTTGTTATCAACGTGCCGATTGGGACTCTTTCCGTGATTTTCTTCATGACGTCTCTTAGAAGGCAGTTTTTAATCATTCTGTTAAAAGATGCGCGTCTTAAGTCTTCTTCTGGGTGAAAGCCGGCATCTATGCCTTCATTCCAGCAAGGAAATAACAAATTAAACCGTATTGATCTCGTTGGTTTTTACCTGCATGCGGGGCCTCTATATCCTACTGGAATCACTTATGGCTGAATCAGAGCAACATGTCTGATTACAATAGACGTCTCTTTGTCTCTGCTCGTAACAAGTGCATGTGTGTCCTCAAAGAAGGGAAGATACTGTTTGCAGATAAAATGAAACAAAGTATAGCATCACGCAAGTTTGGTTCTAGAGATTATTGGAAGATCTGCAAGAGAATGCTGAACAACAGCAAATCCTCAATCCGTCCTCTATTAAATCAATTCGAAGAACTTCCATCTACAGCAGATAAGGTTAAATGCTTTGCTCGGAAATTCTCTTCCAACTCAACGCTCGATTCAATTGGGGTGACAATACCTGATTTCCCACATAGAACAGAGTACCTACTGAGTGATATGCGCATAACACCATCACAGGTCTCGGATATTATTTATAAATTAGACTCCCATAAAGCAAGCGGAAGTGACGGGATCCCAGCCGTCGTCCTAAAGAAATGTGCTCCCGAGCTGGCTCGAGTACTTTCCAAACTCTACAACTACTGCCTCACTGTTTCCTGCTTATTGGAAATCCTCCTCTGCAGTTCCTGTTTTTAAGAACTTTGGTGTTCCTTCGGACCCAACTATCACTCTATTAATCGTTTTACAGAAATGGCGGTTACATTTAACTAATTCAAATTAGGTAAATTTAACCGCCAATTCAACTCCAACAATTTCTTTCCTC